AGGGTGAAAACACGTAGGTCTCATACTTCTACCTTGGAATGAGACTTATAAATATAAAATATACAAAGATGGAAAAACAGAAATGAATAGCGAAAGTAATTGTTCTGATCTAAATCGGCAACGCAACGTGCCCGTAGCTGAATGGTTAGTGTCGGAATTCTAACCAACAGGTAACGAGTTCGAGCCTCAAATAGTTTGGGATGACTGGCTGATGACGGCCAATGAGCCAGAAATGGCCATTTCAGTCAGTTCTGGTTTTGGTAGCAATCTTCATCTGCCTATAATAATAGCTGCTGTGTGTCTGTTGGCGGGGCTCGAGAGTGAGCCAAAAGGCAAAACGGAACGAGTGACTTCTGCAACCGAGCAGTGAGGGTTCAGCCTTCAATGACTCCTCCTCCCTGTGCGGGTGAGTAGGGGTAGCAACTGACGAACTCAGTCAAACCAAATGCTTAGCTGCATAAGCAAACGCAGTTATCGTATGTGGTTCTATTGAATTTTGTTGAGCACAGTTGCAATCTGCACGCAGCTGCTTCCATTTAGCAGATAGGAGGGCAGCCGCCGTAGTTATGCAATGCCGGTTAATTTGAGTAAAACTCCAGAGAGGACGGCCACGTTGCGTGGGGCTTTATTTTATACACCTACCTCAACAGCGGTTTTCTAACATTACTCTTGGTAATAAATCATGATGGCTAACAGAATAAACAATTAGCTCAGGAATGCGTGACTATCTCTGCATAGAATCCAATTCACGCGAACGACAGTGTCCTAACAATTAAATCCAGTCAAGTCGAAAATCAAACAGAAGTCGGATTAGGCAGTTTTCTGGGTTTCCAAGTAGGCTTACTTAGGAACGCATGGCATACTTTATACGGCGGGAAAAGCCGGAGCATAGATGACAGGAGTTCGGGAAAGACGGAGCCTGCCCGGTAGCTTAATTTTTAGTTACCCACGGTTGGTAGATAGTGGAACGATCCTCCTTCAAATTCAGCTGCAAACTAAGTGGGTTCGCTTGCCCGACGAATAAGCCCTCGTGAGTCAGAAGCGTTACTTCTAGTAGATGTGAAGGATTTGTGTCTGGCAAGCTAACAATTTAATGAAATGCGATGGATTTGGATGACGGCACTGGTACATGGCTAGTATAGACCATCATTAAATATGTTCTACCTGCTAACATTTTCCTCAGGGATAACATCCACAAAAATGGCAATTTGAAGACTGCTCGAATCAGTTGATACCAAGTGCCTGGATGTCTATCTCATGCGAGTTCCTTCAGAAGGGCTCGAAAATCCTGCCATGGACGCGTCCGGACCTCCATTAACTGACCGGAATGTAAGTATGTAACCGGACTCTTTTCGAAATGAAAAATGAACTGCGCATCACAGGATGAAAGGTGGCAGTTCTAATTGAAGTGTCATCATGTAAAATTTGGTATGGAATATTGTGGAGGTTGCCTGTCCCTCTGAGATGCACTTGGGTCAGGATAAAAGACTACTGTCAAAGCAATAGTTTTATGCCGGAAGGAAGGGCTCCCGCATCGAAACAAAACGCCAAGATGATGATTTGACCGTCGCAAGCGATGAATTTTACCCAGTTGCAAACGGAGCGGGAGCAGCAGCGGTGACTTGCTTACGAATTAGTTTCTAGCGAAACAAACTTGGGTCACACATACGGCACTCTCTCTCTCCCTTCTATCTTCCCTCATCCACTTTGCTCCGATTGCAAGACAAAGTCAGGAAAACTGAAGTTCGGCTTGAGTACAAAGCCAAACGGCCCATTTGCGCGTGCCATATACGACCTGCCTCCCGCTCTGGGCACATCAAACTTTAGTAAAGACGACTTTGATCCTATATGGGTACAAACGCCATAAAAGCCCTTCTATGAAATAGCCGCTGCTGAGAGGAGAACCGATTTATCTCGCCAATTGGCAAGCTGCTGAGCCAAGACCAACGGCGCATCGTGGTGGATTCGACCGTGTCCGATTTATTGTAGCGAGGAGTACGCTTACGGGCCATGAGGATAGATTCCTGACTGTCGATCACACGCCCTCTTCCGTTTCCTGTGCACCAGCAAACTGTCTGAGCTTGTCAACTAATAGCCGATGAACTTGTACTCAGTGTTGACAAGGTTTAACAGTCCACTTATGTGTGTCTCACATGTGACCTGGTCACTACTCATGCGT